GCCTATATCAAACTGTCTGACATATTAGGAATAAACCCCTTCGATTACTTATATTTTACAATTTTTAATCCTTGCTATAAATATCACAGCGACAGCAAATTACGGTGTAGGGCCGGAGTTTGCAGACAAGCGTATTTACATATTTTTGTCACGCATGTACAGAAATCATAAATATGTATTGTGACGCCGCATTCGCCATGCAGTTTTTCTATCAGGAAGGTCGTTATAAACTGTCAGTCCCGACACCAAGGGCTTCCATTCAGCATCTGTATGCTTAGATTTCGACGTAGTGAGTGGGGTACTGCGGAATATTTCTTCTGAATTTGAAGAATGATGGAGAAAAACGTTGGAATGATTTTTACAGTCTATTGTTTCGAGTGAGAAGATATTTTAGACTAAGACTAGTTTGCTTTTGCACGCTAAATCCATTGATTAAAAAGACAGGGATTACGTCAACGTTGCACGAGACGTACCAAAAATTCCCAACTGAAGTGACCTTACCTTAGAGGCAACATTATTTTTGCGGTCGTGACCTTAAGCAATTAATTTACTGCTGGCAATACCCCATAAGTGAGCGCCGGCACATATTGCTGTCTGTGGAATTTCATGAAAGTCGCAGTGTGACCCCCCTGTGGGTTATTCCTACCACCTCAAATGGAATGTCTCCATGCTAGATTTGAAGGGAAAAACACACTTCTAAATAAAACGAGCATATTTTACACTGTCTTATATTGATTTACAACGTGTGCATCCGACTGAACCGAGTAATGAACTCCACGAATTCGATCCGCCAAGGTTGATCGGACTATCTGGTTCGCGCCTGTTCGCAAGCTGCCGCCTTGTAATGCATGATAAATTTAGATAAAAATGCGTGCGAAGGGTTTAAAAGAATATTTTCCAATTAGTACCTAACCGCTTCTGAATCCTTTGTGGCCATTTAAAGCATTCTTGAATTTTCATCTTTACTCTGTCTCTTTCCCTGATCAAACCAAACTGAAACATCAAATGAGGGTGAATAAAGCGTAGTCATGTCAACGAGCCCAATGATCGCTGAAGAGATTTATTTAAATGATACTAGTGGAAACAAGTATTGCCCCAAAATTTTGCGCGCCTGCGTCCCAGATTGAGCGGTACTGTAAGCAAAATAACCAAAACTAAAAAAATTAAAGAACTGCTGTAGATTTGGGTCTGCTTAAGATAATTATAACTGTTATTCGTTACGTGGTTTTATTTCGTTATTTTGAAATGCAGTTTGCTATTTAGGATGGTAGAAATGAATGCCCTTCACATGTTTTAAGTAGGCCATTTTCTGCTGTCACGTGTATTTTGTATTTAATTTTTTGGCTGACATATTACTTATCTATGGATCGCGAAGTCTAATAAGCCAGAAATGGCCATTCCAGTGTCCCTTGCATTTGTCGGTAAAAAAGCCTGCCTATATCACGCGCCACTGTGCGTCTGCTGATTGGACTCGGAAGAGCGAGAACCCTAAGGCACAACGGAACGAGTGAGTACCGTAGAAAACGATCGGTGAACACCCCCTCCACCATTGTATATTCCTGACCGCAATAGACTGGACAGCGGGCCCGTGGCTCGGTGGTTAGAGGTGTTGGACTTCCAGCTAACAGGTCGCGAGTTCGAGCCTCGGGTGTTTCACACTTCGGGGTTGGGTATGACTGGCTGGAGACGGCTAATAAGCCAGAAATAGCCATTCCATTTTTCCTTGTCTTTGTCGATAAAAAACGTTCTGCCAATATCTTTTTTGTAGGTGATTTTCAGGTAAGAAGACCTCTCACCACTAATTAAAGTTGCCATTGCAATAGACGGCCAATTCAGTAAAGTGCACGTCAGTGTATAACTTGCGATACACTAACGCATAAACCTGTGCAATCGGCGTAAGCTATCTATAAGATTCTACTCCAAATCTCCATCTGAACAACTTCTGCCTGCCGGGCAATCCATGCCGCCAATGCGTGCATGGATTAGCCCAAACTACGTCGGGAAATTAGGCAAATCCCTACAGAGTATTCCTTTCTCTCAAAATGAAGTTTAATATTTTAAAGAACTTGTACTTACCAGTGGTAAAACACAGGTACGAATATCGGCAACTCTAACGGCCGACACTCCAACGACGGAAAATAAAAGTACAAATGCTTACTTTCTAGACCAAACCTTCATTAGTCTCATATGACTGTAATTTTAATGACCGGTTAAAATCCTGAGTCATATGATTCCCATCTCAAATATTGGCCAATAATCAAGTTAGTCGACAGCTGCTTAGTGCACGCTGCAACACTAACTTTTATGAACTAAAATTATATATTGTTGATGTATTTCTTAGTGATACCTGAGCAGGACAAGTTTGGCATTGAAACAATCTGTCATGACGAACCAACAGACGAATTTCGTCAGTATCCTAATTTCTCGTGGACTGAAACAATTATAAATTATAATTGTTCCTTAAAGAATCACTATGTTTATTATCGAATCCAGGTTTTGACACTAGACGATAGGCTAATCTAGCTTCCCTAATCAAATAGGCGGAAAAACATAGACATTTCCTCGTCTAAGCAACATTCACGACAAGACAAGGTAGACCGGAATGGCCACTTCTGTCGTATTAGAAATCGTCAACCATGCATACCCAAACCCCGAGGGGTGCTATACCTGGGGCTCGATCCCGCGACCTGTTGATTAGAAGTCCAGCGCCCTATCCACTAAGCCACGAGTCCGCTGTCCTGTCAATTGCAATCGGGTGGTATGAAAAAAATAATCTGTGGTCTGTATGCGGAGGTGACTGCGTCACTACTCAGCTTAAATGACACAACCCTACTTTCAGAGAAATTGCAGATTCCAGGGGCCTGAGCTGAACACTTCTACAGCATCCTTAACCGCCACCCTGCGAGTTGTGGAGAAGCCGTTAGCTGGGTCCCTAAAATGAAAACCCATTCTCAGCCTCAAAAGTGCGTGTTAGGACGGCCCAGAACACGACGCACCGTTCCTGTCATCCGGAGGTCACGCCTGACAAAGAACCGCAAACTTGCCGCACAGCCTCGCCTAGGAAGTCCGCATGCGAGCCAGACATTAGCACGCCGCTGAGTCATGCGCGACCTCCAGGGGTCAGCAACACGCGAGCGCCTGCCCATGCGGGCGCTCAGGACTGGACCAGTAGGAACACGCAAACCAGACGAAGGCTGAACCCTTAACTACGAAGCCACGGACGGAAGGATTAGGAGTTGATGTACACAGGGTGACTGACGCAGTAAAGCTGTTCTCTCCTATCCTGTCTGTCTTCTATTCCGCACAGAACTGGCGTCATACTAATTGGGGGATATAACATACGCGATCCCTGCAAAAGACGAGCCACTGTTGCAACAACTGGCTAGCAGAAAGCCTTGGGAACGGCTGGACTTCAGAAGGTTACCGACACGGCGATCTTCAGATTATGACCAGACTTATCTCACTGGTTCAGAACATGTGGTAAGAAGGTCAGAAGCTGCAATAGTTTAAGGAAACCGCAATTGGTCATTCAAACAAATACAACGAAGTCGCCAGGTACATTGATGTCAATCACCATAAAATGTATCTGATTACAATTGTTAGTAAAGCCCTTGTGAATGATCAGCTCAGTTACTCGAACCTACGTGCATTTGTGGCATCCTTCCAGAAACGCAGTTCGGATTTCTGAAACATCGGGGGACAATCAATGTAATCTTAACACATCGGCGGCAACAAAAACGCCTAGAAGATATGTGTAGCCTGTGGGTCACTTTTTTGTTTACGATCGATGCCGGAGAATCATGTCGAAATCCGGATGTCCGGAGAGCTTCAGACAGAGTGCCAGACAGCGCAACATTTGTCATGACGAACCAAGTGGATCAAGCTGGTCCACTTCGTCCCATCAACTTCAGCCTAGTGTCATCTACCAAACTGATGAAGACCTACCGTAAGGGAGCAGACAAAAGTGGACGTCGGTTTTATAATGGACGAATAATCACTTATCTGCAGGCCTATGCAGAGAAAAAAGCAAAGTATATTAGACAAGGGGACTAGAGTTGATGGCTGACGAATGATAAACAGCCAAAAATGTCCATTTTTGTCTCACTTGTCTCTGTCAGTTATGTTACATTGACTAATTTACGCGCGCTGTGCGGCTGCTGGCGGGGTTCGAATTAGAGCCCCAACGTACAATGAGGAGAGCGATATCCGTAACGTCATCAGAGAACGCCCATCTACCATTTCCTAGTCTCTGCGCGATAACATTTGACTAGAGCTTTTAGTGCGAAATCAGAATATGGGGAAGTAATCAGAGTCAACGGTCACTGATAGAAGCGAACAGGCGAGTCCCAGGTAGCAGTTCAGAAGGTGAAGATGCGATCACTGGAACAAGACATTTATTTGCCTGACGTTTCGGATTCTCACTCGAATCCATCATCAGAGACATTCACAGATAGAGGTGAAGGTGGCACCAGGAGTGCAGTATTTATAGCACGTGGCTGCCGTGGGACCGTATGCGCACTGCAATTAACAGTTCTCGCAATCGCCGCTGGGGTCGTAATTGATGCGGCGGTGGCTTGGCGGTCCGAGTCCGAGTCGTTAATGGCCGCGATTTCGTCATCCGTGCTCGATGCTGGTGTGACGATTGCTCGGCAAACTGGCTCACTGTCACCGTGATAATTGCTCGCCCGCGCCCTCCCCACGTGACTGATTCTCCTGCTCAGGGAAAATCGCAATGCGGAATAGGGTACCGGGAGGTCATTGTGTTTGTTGATGGATTGCGGGCCTGAGAACCATGACTCGAGCAGCTCGCGGCTCACGCGGTTGTCACCCCTTGCGAGGATTTCGGCCTCTTGAAATTTGAAAATATGGGCGGGTCCCGTCGAGTGTGCCGCCACCTGAGACTTAGCGTCCCCCCGCCTCACTGCTGCTGCGTGCTCGGCAAGTCGCGTACGGAGTAATCTCGCAGTTTCTCCGACATAATTGCTTTGCCCGCAACTGCATCAGATCCGGTAAACGACTCCAGACGTTTCCTGCCGTGGCAGCGGGTCTTTTGGCCTCATTACTTGGCGCCTAATGGTTGCTTCCGGCCTGTGTGCAACCCCAACTCCAAGTGGAGTGAGAAGACGACTGACGGCTTCCGAGGCGTTCTTCACGTACGGAAGAGCCCGCCAAAATTTGGGGCTAGTTGGATTTGGTCTCTGGTGTCCTTTTCGTATGCACTGGTTGACAAAGTTGCGCGGGTAACCATTGGCTCTCATTACCCGTCTAGGATATTGTAATTCAGCAACCTTGTCTTCCATTTCACTGCAGTGCGTCTCAACACGCCGGTATAGCGCCCTTACGCAACTGCGTTTGTGACTGATCGGGTGGTTGCTATTGAAGTTCAGTATTTGCGTCGTATTTGTCGCTTTCCTGAACACTTTGGTTTTTAGGCCACCACAATCTTTGCGGCAGACGAGGACATCCAGGAAGGCCAGCTGATTGTTTTCCTCCTCCTCCTCCATCGTAAATTGAATGTCCGGGAATACGGCGTTGAGTTGTTCTTTGAAAGTCAGCACCTGATCCCGTTCGATGACGACGAAGGTGTCATCCACATACCGAGCCCAGAATTTCGGTCTGTGGTGTCGGAAAACCAGCGACTCCAGCCGTTGAAGGACCGCCTCGGCTATGAGTCCCGAAATCGGCGAACCCATTGGCGTTCCCTTCACCTGCTCGTAGATTGTTCCGTCGAATGTAAAGTACGTCTTGAGACAGAACTTCAGGAGCTGGATGAGTTGGGCGTGTCCGAGGCGATTCTCCGTTTCGTCGTACTTCTCTCGTAGGAGTAGTTCGATTGTCTCGACTGCCAGGTCCTGCGGGATAGAAGTAAAAAGGGACGTGACATCAAAGGAAACCATGATATCGCTTGGCAGGAGACTTACTCCTTTAAGTTTCTCCAAGAATTGCGTTGACGGGCTGACTGTGGTGTTCGAATCGGAGGTCAGAAACTTGAGACGTTGGAATAGCCACTTTGCCAGTCCGTAGGTTGGAGTGCCCTTTAGTGATACGATAGGCCGGAGAGGAGCGCCCTCTTTGTGCACTTTTGGGAAACCGTAGAATCGGGCTAGGGCCGTTTCTTGTGCTCGCGCCATGCGTCGGTCGATTGGCGATATTGCACCTGAGTTCTCCATTGCCAAAAGCGTCGCGTTCATCTCGCGTGTCAGCGTTTTCATGGGGTTGGATTCGCATGGGACATAGGACTGACGATCCTCCAACAAGCTTTTGGCTTTTTGATCGTAGTCTGTCCTGTCCAATACGACCGTTGAACGCCTCTTGTCCGCAGGCACGATAACGAGGTCGCTGTCGGCCCTGCGTTCCTTAAGTGCATCGCGCTCGACCTTGGAAAGCACATCGTGCGGCCTATGAGCCATGAGGAGGGAGGACACTTGGTGTCGAATGAGTCCGAGTTGTTAATGGCCGCGATTTCGTCATCCGTGCTCGATGCTGGTGTGACGATTGCTCGGCAAACTGGCTCACTGTCACCTTGATAATTGCTCACCCGCGCCCTCCCCACGTGACTGATTCTCCTGCTCAGGGAAAATCGCAATACGGAATAGGCCACCGGGAGGTCATTGTGTTTGTTGATGGATTGCGGGCCTGAGAACCATGACTCGAGCAGCTCGCGGCTCACGCGGTTGTCACCCCTTGCGAGGATTTCGGCCTCTTGAAATTTGAAAATATGGGCGGGTCCCGTCGAGTGTGCCGCCACCTGAGACTTAGCGTCCCCCCGCCTCACTGCTGCTGCGTGCTCGGCAAGTCGCGTACGGAGTAATCTCGCAGTTTCTCCGACATAATTGCTTTGCCCGCAACTGCATCAGATCCGGTAAACGACTCCAGACGTTTCCTGCCGTGGCAGCGGGTCTTTTGGCCTCATTACTTGGCGCCTAATGGTTGCTTCCGGCCTGTGTGCAACCCCAACTCCAAGTGGAGTGAGAAGACGACTGACGGCTTCCGAGGCGTTCTTCACGTACGGAAGAGCCCGCCAAAATTTGGGGCTAGTTGGATTTGGTCTCTGGTGTCCTTTTCGTATGCACTGGTTGACAAAGTTGCGCGGGTAACCATTGGCTCTCATTACCCGTCTAGGATATTGTAATTCAGCAACCTTGTCTTCCATTTCACTGCAGTGCGTCTCAACACGCCGGTATAGCGCCCTTACGCAACTGCGTTTGTGACTGATCGGGTGGTTGCTATTGAAGTTCAGTATTTGCGTCGTATTTGTCGCTT